TGCGATGAGCTACAGAGCTCAGTGTGCTGATGCATTGACTGCTCATCTTTAGGAATGGCAATGGGCAGGTACGTTACTCGCCCTATTGCAGGTCAGGTTCAGGTCGGGTAATTTATTATGGGGCACGTGTTGAAGCAGGTCGATCCAATGAGTTTGTAATTTATGTCAAAAACATTCGAAATATTCGTTATTTTCATTAAAAGACCAAGAAAGAAACCATAATATTATAAAATTTAGTTAAATTATTAAAGAAATTGAGATTTTCAATTAATTACAACTTTATTATAGCTAAAATATAATGTAATAAGAGGAGATACAAATGGTCATCCCTACTCATCTCCCTTTTCTTCTTTGTTCCATTTTTTATTTATTTTTGCTGCTGTTCAGTCTAGGGCTGGCTATTTGGATTGGGACCGGATGAAAAACCGGAAACCGGACCGTATAACCCGGACCGAGACCGGATAGTAAACAATCCAATCCAATCTTTGGGCTTAGATTTGAGGTAAAAAACCGGATAAGAGAGCTCAACACCCAAAACTTAAGGGTAATTTGCATAAACGGTCACAAACCTTTACACTTAGTACAAAACTTAACCAACTCCTCACCCTTTTAGGCCTTAGGCCACTCAAATTTCCACAATCTCAATATAAAATCAAGACCGAATTGGGACCGGACCGGGTCAAGACCGGACCGGATCAAGACCGGACTGTATCCAATCCAATCTTCGGTCCTTATATTCTCAAAAAAACCAGACTGGACCGGATCAATTTGAGCCAATTTAACCGGACCGGACCGTATAGCCACCCCTAGTTCAGTCAAAAAAGTCTCTCCAAATTCCATTTCCTTCACACTCCCACCATTTACCACGCAGACCTGGTTTGTGGGTTTTTAATCCAACAGTTAGCGTAATGTCATGGTTCCCATTTTTTTATTTTATTTTAATCTTTTCAATAATCACTTAGAGTTATTGAAATTAAAATGACTGAACACTTTAAATGATATCAAAGTACTGGGATGTGTTTGTGTACGTGATCAGTGTCAAGCTCATCGTGTTGATGATACTGATCGTTCTCCCAAATCCAGAATCAACAACTTAAGCAACTTAGATCATAATAGGGGGTTTTTGGTTCGGTTAACCGAACCAAAACAATTAAAAAACCAAAACCGAACTAAATTGTCTCCAAAACAGAATTGATTAAGAGGCTTACCGATTTTTCGGTTAGTGGGTTCGGTTTCGGTTACAACAAACTAAAACCCCTACATCATTTTGTAATAGTATGATCTATGATGATTTCTAGTGGGACGTGTTGGCTCCATGGGAGAGAAGTTGACAGGAGAAGTTTGATTTTTGTTCTCGCTTTCACGGATTAAACAGAAACCGTTAAAATGCAACCGGTTCAGAATCGAAACACACGCGCACACACAACAACAACAACAACAACAACAACAAAAAAAACTTGTAATATCCTTATCGGTTCCGGTTATACTTGTTTCGGGTTAGATCGAAAAACCGAACCCATCTCCCAGCCTAGATCATAAGCAACTAAAGCAAGTTCAGTCGTTCAGATATGTGGAGCGTGCAATTTGAGGAACCCAAGATGAAGAAATCGTCCGTCAGCAAAATGTGCTTTGACTCATATGTCCAATCAGAAATAAATCGAATGAAACAAAACTCAGAAAATTAAAAAAGGTCAAATCAAAATGGGTGTTGGTGTTCGGGACGTGGAACAACTGGCATGCATGCGCCCAAAGCCATCTATAGTCGTTTTTAATTATTATATTACATAAAGAAAACCCACAACTCAACCATATATATCTTATCGTTATCCTGACTACTATGATAGTGTTACAATATAACATTCATGTGGTTGTTTCATGTTTGGATGTATCAAGAACCAGCTTAACGGAAACAAATGTGAGTTATCGGAATTTGAATAGAAGACTTCTTGGTTACAGAAGGTTCTGATATTATGTTAAGTACCAGTTGATCGATCTAAATAACTCAAATAGTTAGAAGAAGTTCTATAATATTGGATCATATACCCATTTACTAACAAGATGGTTGATTTTTAAATGAGATTTATTCAATTGTCTCATCTCACAACAATGCATAGTTTTCAAAATGTACTTGCTCATTCCTTTGTCAAGTCAAATTGATGCAAAACAAGGCAACTCAAATTGTCTTGACCCAATTTTCCCATTTTAGTTTTGTGTTGTCAAATGAGACAATTCAACTCAACTGCTTCATTTTGAGGGCAATTGAACCAAACTGTCTCATCAAAATATTGCATACAAACGACTCATTCAACTCAATGTTACATATATCATAAAATATTTCCACTGCATTATATGATTGAGAAGTTGATATCGTACGCTTGAGACATGATTACATTGTGTGATTAACTAGCCAATTTTGCATAGAGAAAAAGGATTTAATTTCACAACATACACACATGATTAGAAAAAATAATTCTCTTGATGACTAGTAAGTGAAAGGAATTTATATATTCGCATAACTAATCATAATTGTCTTTTAACATTTTTAAAAAAATTAAATTAGCTACAAAGTCGATCGGGATTCAGGAGATCACTGTTGGCAGTTTGCAATAGAATATACCCATATATACAGCTTATATAGTTTCATTAATCCAATCAATTAAGATATATGTTTGATTATTTGTGTCTGAGATAATTAAATTAAGGGAATAAAATAAATGTGGACTCGAAGAAGACATGAATGTGACGGCACATGTTAAAAGGGGTAATGGGCCGGTCGTTTGATCAAAGTATTATTAAATCATTAATTTGGACTAAAACTGCCCAATAAGAAGAGGCCGAATCAACTAAAGCAGCTCCATTTAATCCCAATCAAGAATCTAATATTATGATGACGTGTACTTGTTTTTTATCATCATATATTAAAAAACTTGATCAAGTCTTCGTAATGAAGTCTAATAGGTATAGAATTTTATATGTCACATAATGATGCGGCTGAGATATGGAACCTGCCTGAGTAGTATCCTCTAATAATTTAGTTAGGGAGAGTTTCACAATTTCTTTTAATAAATTATGGGTAGGGTATGAGAAGTACATTCGGGTTTCTGTTTCGTAAATGAATTTGAGTATGCTTCCATATTCTAAATGGACATAGGTTGAGATTGAATGTCCATTTAATTGAGGTATCTATATATAATGCATCAAATTTTTAGGTACTCAAATATAATTTTTATTGATGTTTTTTGGACTTATTTGCATAAAAAGTTAAATTTAGATACGAAATCATAAAATTTATTAAGTTTAGGTATCAAACAATAATTTGCATGAGTACATGGGTACATACCAAAATCTATGAATTAAAAACACACCCCAAATAAATGTGTATGAGTATAAAACCATCAAACTCTGCCCATTTAACTTGCATATGTGTATGAGTATAAAACCATCAAACTCTGCCCATTTAACTTGCATTGAATTTCATACCCAGCTCAATTGAGTTGGATAACTAAATATCCATGAGTTTGGACAAAATTGTCGTCCCTATTATAAGAGCGTTTCCATTTGATGATATTTTTCCCCAGTAATGACAAGAAAGATAGGGACACTAACTCTAAAGGTAAAAAGTCACTAGAATAAAAAAAAAATTGTTGATTGATTTGCCAGAAACCCGATATAACTGCAATTTTATTAACAAAAAATCCAATTAACTCATCATATGATTGACCTGGTAACCCAATCGATCTGTAACCAAATTCACTCACAATCCAAATAATCTATAATCCTAACATACTCGCAACTCATAATTCAAATAATTCACAACCCAATAACCTGTAAAATATTCAGTAACCGGAATAACTCGAAACTCAATTGAACCCCATTCAAATGCCAAATATTCCGTAACCGGAATAACTCGAAATTCAATTGAGCCCATCCAAATGCCGATTGAGAACCTCTGCGATCTGTCAGTAGAGTTCACAAAAAGAGGCCAGGAATTGAAGTGGAAACAAACAAATTAATTTCATGAACAGAGGCTTAATTACTTACTGTTCCCACCTTCTCCCCCTTCTGCTATATATGCTGCATGCATAGTCGTAGACTAGCTGTTGCAGCTCATCGGTAGTGGATATCCTTTACATTTCCTATGCTTCCTCTTGATAAGATCATAAACCAGAGAATAGTATATCAAAAATATATATAGGGATGTAAAATTGTAGTTTTTTCAGGCACTTTTACTATTAACGAGCAAGCAACTGATTATAGACTATATTCTAAAATATTATGTTCTTCAATGGGGCTACATTAGAGGTAGTTCGCCATTCTTCACGTTTTATAGTATCGTGCCATTTTACAACACGAGAAGTTAATAAAGTTGTCCACTTAGTAACAAAATAATAGTTCAATTGTACAAGATCATTGCTTATGCTTGTTACCTTATCTTGTAACTTGGTTCCTTCTTTTGTTGTCTTGATGGCTTATTTTAAAGGAAAAAACATGACTAATTTCTCCACGGGAAAACTTGAAAGGAAAACTTTTTAAGGGTAAAAGTAAGTTTTTTTTTAATAGGTATCCTCATAGTGAAATATTATAGATACGAGAATATTCAAGACTTTTGCAGGTCAGATCACAAAAAATAATTAAGAAAAAAACATTGGTCAACAAGTGTACAACCAATGATAATGAACAACCCTATTGTATCTCCGAGTCACAAAGCAAAATGTTGCACGCTGAAATGATGATCGTAGCACCTAGATATCCTGCATGATAGCTCTTAAGGGAAAAGGTAAGCTTAGCTTTCATAATTTTGCTCAAGCACACTTATTATTAGTGATTGATATAAGGAAGAGAAAGAGAAGCTAAACAAAATCCAGAGTATGAAAAAAGGACATGTATTTTTACCTTACTTGAAAACTCAAACCCCACCAAATTCCCTACCCCCTCACCCTTCTACTGTCTTTGTTCTATAAAACCCAAATCCACAACCATCACTCTCCGTAGGATTCCCATTCGAAAATCCACACAACCAGCTTAGAAACCCAACTTGCAAATTGGAGCTTCAAACTATTCCCAAAGCAGAATCACACAATTTTCGAGTACTATTCAACACCTAAACCACCGTTGCCCAATGGCTAGTGCATGGCTTTGGTCATCAACTACATTTCTGATGATCTTCATCTCCATATTCTTTCCCATCCCTCTTCCCATCTCTCTTCCTCCTCCAATTACAGTTACTGCTGCATGGTCATGGCCTCAAATTGCAATTTCCATGGCTTGCCTTCTTGTGCCTCTCACCATAATCACCTTGATTCACTTCTTGCCTCTACTGATCCTCCACCATGATCATCGCCACAACAACAACAACAACAAAAACCTCCCCAAGGGCTCCTTTGGCTGGCCTTTGCTTGGTGAAACCCTTGGCTTCCTTAACCCTCATCCATCCACTTCCCTGGGAACTTTCCTTCAAGACCATTGCTCTAGGTAAGGCTGCAAGGTTAGTTCTTTGGAATTCGATTTTTTCTTACAGCAGAGAAGATACTGAGTTTCGAATGAATGGTTTTTGCCGAAGAAATTACCCTTTCTTGTTTTGTGTTTCTTGTTCTCTTTCTTGTATAGGTATGGGAAGGTTTTCAGGTCACATTTGTTCTTGTCCCCAACTGTGGTGTCATGTGATCAGGAGCTGAACTACTTCATACTCCAGAATGAAGGGAAGCTGTTCGAATGCAGCTACCCAAAGCCCATCCATGGGATTCTTGGCAATGTGTCGATGCTTGTGGCCGTTGGTGACACTCACAGGAGGCTTAGGAACGTTGCTCTGTCTCTTGTCAATGTCACAAAATCGAACCCTGAGTTCTTGCATGATGTGGAGATGACTGCAACTATGATCCTGAAATCCTGGAGTGGGAAGGAGCAAGTTCTGTTCTGCGAGGAAGCCAGAAAGGTAACGTGATTGTAAACTAAACTTGGAAATGTTGTGTATTGTTCATAACCTCCTTATGAAATGCTTAAGGTGGAAAGTTTCCGTCTTTTGATCAGGGTGTTCTGTTTTTGGCTGTGTTGATAACATGTTCGATGAAATGCCTAAGAAAGATTTAGTTTGTGATCCGGGTTGCTTTGTTTTTTTACTGTCCTGTGTTTGTTCATAACCCGCTCGATGAAATTCCTAGGAAAGCTTCTTCAGTCTTTTTATCAGGGTGTTCTGTTTTTTGCCCTGCTCATAACCTGTTCGTTGAAATGCCTAAGAGAACTACAGTTTCCTCAACAGGGTGCTCTGTTTTTGTTTTGGACAGTATAGTTTCAACGTGATTGTGAAGCAAGTTCTTGGGTTAACGCCAAAGGATCCTGAAACCACAAGGATTCTTGAGGATTTCTTAACCTTCATGAAGGGTCTCATCTCTCTTCCTCTCTATGTCGCTGGAACTCCATATGCTAGAGCTGTTCAGGTATCCTTCTTCTCAATCTCTCAATAAACAACTCTTTCTGTCTTTCATTACTTTTCAAGATATTCCCTTTTTTCTCTGACCATGTAATGTAACCTTAAGATCCTGAAGATAAGGCTTTTTCTCCAGCTAGCTTTAGTTCTGTCTACTCATTACTACATTACAGCAAGAAAGTATAATGGGTAGCTAAGTCACTTTTTGTCTTTACAGGCTAGAAGCAGGATAGCTTCCTCTGTAAAAGCAATTATAGAGGAAAGGAAAAGAAGGAGAAGGATGGAAGGGGAAGGCTATTTTGGGAAAGGGAAAGTTGATTTCCTTGAGATACTACTGGGCGTGGAAACCTTATCTGAGGATGAAAAAGTGAGTTTTGTTCTGGACTCTCTGTTGGGTGGATATGAAACAACTTCTCTGTTGCTGGCCATGGTGGTGCATTTTCTAGGTCAATCCCCTCTTGCCCTTTCTCACCTCAAGGTAACCAAAAAAAAGTTCCAATCTTTTCAACCTTTTGATAGCTAGCTTCAACATATAAGAAGGTGGAAGAAAATTACTGATGGGTTTCCTGTTTGGCAGTTGGAGCATGAAAATATAAGAAGTTGGAAGAAAGAAGAGGAATGTTTGAGTTGGGAAGATTACAAAAAGATGGAATTCACCCATCATGTAAGTTTACCTCTTTTGGATCAATAACATAAACGGTTGCATATTATTCAAATCAAACCGATTACTTCGTCAAATTTCGATCCATATCATACAAAACCACCGTAAATCACCATCCATGGTTTGTTTGATTCCTGTTTCTTTTTTCTTTGAATTGTAAAGGTCATCAATGAAGCAATGAGGTGTGGGAACATAGTAAAGTTTGTGCACAGAAAGGCCCTGAAAGATGTCAAATTTAGAGGTCAGCAGTTTGATCCTTTTCACAGTACTTGTTTATTATCTAAAGTCTTACATCCCTTTTGCTGATGCCATGCATGCATGACAGTACCTTTTGGTCCCTGTCAGGATGCCCCATTTTACATAATTTATTACCTGGATCTGTACTCTCCAATTAAAGAACTCTGCAGAGAGAGTAATTACACTTTGCCTTTCCTTATTTCTTATTTGTTTTTCTTAGATTACTTAATTCCATCAGGCTGGAAGGTTCTGCCTGTCTTCACTGCTGTTCATTTGGACCCTTCTTTGCATCCAAATGCTCTCAAGTTTGATCCTTGGAGATGGGAGGTAAGTCTGGATCCTTTTCTTTATGAAACTGTCATTGCTACCATAAACATACAGAGCTTCAACCCGACGACTCTTGTCGAATAGGGCTCAGTTATACGATGTGGAATGTGGGTAGTGATGAATTGTATAATACCTGCAATGTACCTATGCAGAGTGAAGATCAAACAAGCAAGAAATTCACACCATTTGGAGGAGGGTTAAGGTGTTGCCCTGGTTCTGAACTGGCCAAAGTTGAAATTGCATTCTTCCTCCACCATTTAGTGCTACAGAACTTCAGGTGCACATAATGTCCATTATATGCTTTCTTGATTCCATTTTTTTTGCCCCTTCCCCAATCTCTGCAAATTTGATCCTCTTTAAACCATACAATGTGCAGATGGAGAACTGAAGATTCAGATGGACCCTTGGCATTTCCTTATGTAGAATTCGAAAAGGGTTTGCTGCTAAATTTGGACCATTCATGATGATCTTTCTTGAAGAAATCTTGTTCTTCCGTAGTTGCTTTAGCTTTTTTGAGGAGTTTTAATTAGGATCATTATCTGCCAATCTTTACTTTCTGTTGCTACATATGTATGTAACTTTGTATACATATCTTCCATTCCCCCTGCCCTTGCTTCATTTCGATGGAAATGGGCTTTTGCCACAACTGTTATATTTTGTGTTGACACTCCATTTGGTAAATAATGAGAGGAATAAACATTGAGTAGGTTGTGAGTGAAGGGTTGGCACTGTAATATCATAAAAAATGACCTTCAAAGTTGGTATGATTGCAAACATGAGAGTGTTTCTGTGATCGTCCTCTCGTTTTGAAATTGTGGGCTTGTAGAGTTCGATTATCGGGAGTGAAAACTGAACTCACTTCAAGGTAGCCATTTGTTTAGTGCTTGGTGGATCATCTGAAACATTAATCTTCTTCATAACCAGTGGAAGTATTAGTTAATGAACAAACCAGAGGACCTGGAAAACCAAGAGGAGACTATCTAAACGAGCTTCCATTTGACGGTGTCTCGAGCAATCAAGACAAACCAGAGGACTTGGAGCTTGAGCATACCTTAATGATATCCGGAGTAATTTTGTTTGGTCCCTTGGATGAAAAATGCCGCCATGGAAGGTGCAGGTTTTGTGCAGGTGTGATGTATGCAATAATAGGCATGGTTTTGGAGTGGGCAACTCTTTGCTTGGTTCTGCTATCACTAAACAGGCCTAGCCTCTCAACTTTAGATTGAAGAAAGAGCCCATCGGGCCCCATTTTGTCTTTCCACACCGACGGGTTAGGGCTAACAAAAGCCTGCCTACGTGAGGAGGCCCATCTCACGCTTGTCTTTTTTTTTTTTTTTTTATACCAGCGCTCGAAAGGTCCAATAATTCATTCCTCTTAGCTATAGGTGTCAATCGGGTGGGTTCGGGTAGGGTTCAGTCGGGTTGTGGGTTACTCGGGTTACGGGTCAAGCGGGTTGCGGGCAAATCGGGTTCGAGTTGATCAGGTTGCGGGCAAATCGGGTTCGGGTTGATCGGGTTGCGGATCAGTCGGGTTACGGGCTGCGAATCAATCGGGTTCGGGTTGATCGGATTGCGGATTACAATAGGTCGGGTTGCGGGTTGTTCGGTCCAAACCATCGAGTTTTTTTATAATTATTTATTACACTAATTTTAAACAAACTCACCGATCACCATATTGCAATGAAAAAAACATGAAGGTGCATTATTAAACCAATGAGTGACTAGATTTTGCTTGAATATATCATAAACAAGTTTGATGTTGCTAGTTGTTGGTACCTTGCAGAGGATTCATTAAGGTTACAAAACCAACATAAATAAATAGTTGAGCAACAAGAAATTAAAAAGCTGACAACTTGCTTGATCATAAACCTATGAAGCCATCTCTCTGAGTCTTGATAGTTGAGACTTGAGAGTTGAGACCATTACATAACATTTAAGCAAATATAATGAAGGAAATACAGTAAAGTACATAAGGCTTCATTAACTTGAAGATTTTCCTTAGTGCACATCTTAAGATGCCTCCACAGTGAAACTGTTCCATTCTTATTAGGATCGCATCCAATAACCTTCATGTAATGGTTGCATTGAAGCTTGATCTCCTCCTCTGATTCAACTTGAGTGAAATTCTCCCAAATTTTGCTTCTTCTAGCCCTTGCGCCCATTGCTTCTGAAAAAAGAAACGAATAGAAAAGAATTACATAATCAATCAAGCAAGAAGTAACAAACACGATAACAAGACTGCTGAAGTTTCATCTAAGGAATTGACTCATTTTTTGGGACTAATCCTACAAAGTTTCATCTAAGAAGTAACAAACACAAGATGAAACTGACTCATTTTTGGGACTAATCCTACAAAGTTTCATCTAAGAAGTAACAAACACGATAACATATTGAAACTACGAAAATTGTTTCGTGCTAATTACAAGAACAATTTCTCACAAAAGAACAAAGAACAAAGGCCATGAGAAACAAGAAGCAGAAAGGAGAGAACGGAAAAAAGAACAAAAGGGCCAAAGACATTTCGGCGCCCACGAAACGTAAGGCAAAGAGCCCGGATGCAAATACAATGGTTCAGAGATTGGAAAGCTGCAAATACAAAGTTTCATCTAATTATTACACTAATTAGAGATGGGGCTTGCATAGAATAAACAATCACACAGAATGATTGCGAACTTATGAAAGCTAGAACCAGACTTCTTTCTTTCCTCATTACCAATAACATTGGGGGAGGTCCCTGTACTAACTCAACAATTTTTTGTTAAAGTAAATCCCTAAAACTAACCTCAACCCTTAACCATAAGTCCATAACCCAAACACCGAACTCTAAACCATGACCCTATTCCCTATACACTAACCTTAAACCATGAACTATAGTTATATCTTATGAAATTGTTGGTATAAACTATAATGTATGTTATGTGAAGAATGTAAGTTAAGTCAATTTTATATTTGGTTATTGGGAAGAACATACGTCCCAATTCTCCTAATTCTAAACCACGACCATCGACCGTATACCCTATACACTAACCTTAAAACCTAAACTCTAGTTACATTACATGTCATGAAATTGGTTGTAGAACGTAGGTTGAGTAAATTTTAGATTCTATATTATTGTGAAGAACATAAGTTCTAATATTAAGATTCCTAACCCGAATCCTTTTAGATTTTGATTAAAGTGTCTCAATGATTTATTAATTATAAATACATGGTGTAATTTGTAAGTTGTAACCAAAAGTGAATTTTATGTTTTGTTTTTCAGAAAAATAAAATTGAAGGATGGCACTACGGGAAAAGCACCTTCTTGCAACACTTTTTAAAAGAGTTGTCTTGGATATGTAGTGACAACACTTTTTTTGGGTGGCGCATTAGGTGCATTAGCAACTCAAGTTGGTTATGTGTTGTATTTGTTATATTATTGGCAACACATATATGACTTTGTGTTGGAAATAGAAAAGAAATTCATTGTTATTAGTAGATTGGCGGGTCTCAATAAAACCAAAATGTTACTTTAGGGGGAACTGAAAAGTAATGTCGGACTCTTTTCATTCTTCCAAAAACCTTCCCCAAATAGAGAGACTATTATAGTATTGGGTATGCCTACTATGACATGCATGTCACGGTGACATGCACTTTTCGGTCGACCTATTCCTAAGGGCGGTCGACCGAATAGTCTAATTTGGGCAGCACGAGAAAGCCTTGCGGTCGACCGCCACGACCACCTGGTCGACCGCATTTAGTTTAAGTTGGTATTTTTGGTTTACCAGAATAGAACCTCGGTCGGCCATTTCGTTGGCGTCAGAAACAACATGGTCGACCACCTAATATATAGGTCGACCACTTGATGGCAGTAATTAACAAAATGGTCGACCGGATAAGGAAAGAGGTCGACCGGATAGAAGATAAGTGTTCTATCAAAGTGTCCAATCATTTGACGTAAAATGGAGATCAAGTGTTGGTTTCTCGGTCGACCTAATCCGGTACGAGGTCGACCGAATACAAGAAAGTCAACCTATGCCCCGTGTCTTTTTGGTTATGTATGTCGATTTGTGTGGTTAATTTAATCGTATAAATTATGTTTCAAACCATCATAATTAGTCAATTATAACAAGGACTCATCAATCCATAGCATAACAACTAAAAATAAAACACACATAAAATAGCATAATTGTTCACCACATAAAAATAAAACTAAAAAAACCAGCATAGCATAATTGTTCACACATAAAAATAAAACTAAAAAAATAACATAAAAATAAAACTAAACAAATAAAACTAAAAACTACTCATCTCCCCCCTCTCCCTCATTCACATTTTCTTCATTTTCTTCATTGGTGGTGGTAGCATGGTGGTCAGATGTGGTGGGATGCATGTATCTTCCGCTGAAAGATCGCCACTCATCTCGCATCTCATTCACGGTCAACTGCATTGTGCTCATCTGGGCGTTCATTTGCCCCATGTAGTCGTACATGCCAGTCATCTGGGCGTTCATCTGGCCCATGTACTCGTACATGCCATCCATGCGCTCCCACACACGCTGTAAGGTGATCGGTGGAGTTGAAGTCTGTGCCTCCCCCATTGGCTCGTCTCGAGCTCCTTGATCACCATCATCACCATCATCATCCTCATCATCATCATCATCACCACCACCAGCATGAGCAATGTTTGCTCTGACATACTCACCATTACGCAGCTCAAAGCCCATCTTTTTCATAGATGAAACAGTATAGAACTCCTGCATTGAGATCGATAACCCCACCTCTTCACTTAAATTCACATTAAAATGCTCAAATATCACAGTGAGGATCATCCCATAGGGAAGATTCCTGTTTGAACTCTCAGCAGCAGTAAGCATGTGGTTAAAGATCAAGTATGGCAAGTTCACCTTCTCGTTTAACAGTAGGTTGGTGAGGAGCTCCATGTCGAAGTAGGTGACTGTCTCCCGATGTCCACCCTTTGGCAGAATGTTGTAGGAGAGCATGTGGTGAAGAACTCTGGCTTGAACTGTCAGGTGGTTACTCGATGGCCTATTGCGCCCCTCAGCATCTTCCTCTTCATCAAGACCACATACGGTCTGGATTTGCTTGGCTCTCGTGTAATGCGTTTCATTCCAAGCACCGTAAGAATTGATTCTCCTCCCCGCGTTTGGAGCCTCCAATACTTGCGCCAACACATTCTTGCTGATGCGCATCGCCACCCCATTCACATAGGATTTGAATGCGTGAATGGATCCATTTGCATTGCGCTCGTAGGAGATGTTGTTGTAGAAGTATTGTACCATTTTTGGGTAGTATGGTACATTGAGTGATATCACCTTCAACCACTCCTGATCGACGAAGGGTCCCAGAAACCCGTAATTCTCGAAATGAGAATACGCATCCGTCGTCAATGGCCTTCCCGGAACCACCCTGCGGTTGTGCATACTCTTCTCTTCGTAGTTCTCACTTTGCTCCTTCGACTGGAACAAATTCGAATTGAACTCCTCCCATTCCGAACTTGAAGCAGCAGCTTTTTGTGCCTTTCTTTTCTTTTTGCCGCCAAACATCCTGCGATCAAACAAGCAAGAATACACATTAGTCCAATTTTCGAAATGAACAATACGCGGTCGACCACTCCACAAAGCGGTCGACCACAATTAATTTAAAACGAGAATGGGTCGACCTCAGAAGAAACACAGGTCGACCTCAGTTAGTTTAAAACGAGAACAGGTCGACCTCAGAAGAAGCATAGGTCGACCTCAGCTAACTTAAAACGAGAATGGGTCGATATAAACCCGTAACAATTC